TGCTAAGTCTAAAGTAAGGTACTTTAATTCATGGAAATCAAGCTTTGGTTTAATATGCAACGTGACTCTAGACAACGCTGTTTTGTTAGGGAACTCACTTCTTTAAATATCTCTTGGATGGGAACTCATCTGAATCCAGTTACCTTCACTGATGTGCCTGTGACTGAATAAGCCTCATCATGACCTTGCAAATTTAATTCTTCAGTAGAATAATGATGAGAATTTAAGCCATCCATTTTGCTCTAACTTTTCTGTACTCTTCACCTTAAAATTACTGCTTGGCATTCAGATCCTCTTTCCCTACCTCCACAACTATTTTTGTTTCATTTTAAAACCCAGAGATCATGATACAGAGAGAATATTATTGCAGTTTCCCCCTATGGGGACTACCATAAGGGCCTATCAATATCCCAACACTGCTGTGCTCTCTATATATGCCTTTTTCCTTACCCATCATTGACCTGACCATGTCCCTTTGCAGTTACTTAATAACTGTGAAGTCTTTGCTGAGAGCATGCTGTTCACAAAATAGGTTTCTCAACCTTAAATATACAATAGAAATACCCTTTGTTTACTTTACACTAGTCATACCAGTGAACACAATTCATATTTGCATCTAAATTTCTATGCAGATGCAAAGTTAACTTAGCCTCTAGCACTGTACGGTAGGAATGGGACCAATGATTATGCACAATTATACCACTGTTAATGACCATAACTAGGAAGTGGGTGAACTTGTTTTATTTTCTATAAATCACACTGGTTCTTCTTTTACCTTGTTCTCTTCCCTGTCAAAAATCCCTGTACCATGCAGTTTAGATTCAAATGACTGCAACAGACAAACTGTTAACTAAGTTATTCTTCCATTTGGGGATAATTGTGTCCTTTCCTAAATAATTAAGTTATCACTTAATGGAATAGACAGATTTTACTGTATTTTTAAAGTTCACTGAGGGGTCTGATCCAGATTCAATTAAATTAATAGTCATCATCTGAGAATACCTATGGTCTTGGTAACTTCGAACAAAAATTACTCCATCTAAAATTCTGCCATGGCCTTCTCAGAAATCCATGGAGAATTCAGAAAATCTAATCTATATTTGAAAGCTACCCTTGGGAATAAGCTGTGTCCATGTTTGTTTGGTCTACTCCAAATACAGGCTGGGTACTTTATCATAATGACAACCAACATTCTTGCACTGATAAACTGTTCTATCAAAGAAAGAAATGCCCTGCATTTTCAAAGGTCTTGCTTATTGCTTCTATCTGTACTAGCAGTTTGCTGTCATGAACATGGTAGCTCATATTAGTAGTATTCATAGTCAGAATGAGGAGGAAACTGGACAACAAAGCTATAGTTCCTCTTGCAGGTCCTGGTAAGCCAATAAAACATTGGTTGGGAATCTGTCCACATGAGTCACTGCATCCAATTCCCACTCACACTGCTTTACCCTGTGGTTCTTCCACCCCTGGCTACGACTCCCTGTCTTTCCAGGTTTTATTTCTTACAATGCAGCTTTTGAAGCTATCTTCGTCCTCACCAGTGGTGTAGTTGTGTCCAGCTGCTTGGTGTACAAAGCCCACCGGGGCCCTACTCGTGAGTTGCATCATGGGGTTTTCTCAGACGAATATGTAAGACGTACAGAGGAGGGCTGCAAAAATGTTCGGGCACTTTTAGATACTTATTTTCATACGTAGCCAAAAAGTATTTTAATGTACATATTTCATCCCTGAAGAATTGCAGATTTTCAGAAGTTAGGGATCTTTTTTTTTTTCCAGAATATTGTTATAGGGTACCACTAAATACCAAGAACATTTACAAAAATATCAAACGAAAAACTGATAGAGGACTATTCATAGACGTAAGAGCACAAAGTAATACTTTCATGCTTTAAAACAGACTACTTTTACAAAAATGGGACCATAATATTAAATAGGAAAGAAAAAAGGAAAGAAGGCTATTGATTAATGAAGTTTCAATAACAATTCGCTAGAAGTTACAGCACACATAGGTGTACATACATGAAACTAATGCTAAAATTGTTATAAACATTTATGTAATTGATTGTCGATAAGACATAACCTAAATTTTTTCATTGAACGTAAAAGAATACATCTGCAAATGGAAATGGCAGGATCATAGTCATGATCCACTGACTATTGACAGCAAAAGGAGTTAACTTCAATGTCTATTGAATCAGCCAGTCATTTATGATTATTATTTATTCTTTTTGCTAAATGGATTCATTACTCAGGTTGAATATGCAATAGTTGGCCGTCTGTCTCACAGAAAACCTTGCAGTCCTGTACATGATGACAATTCTATTTTCTGCCGTGCAGCAGAAATAAATGCAAAGTTTAATTCAGAAAGTAAATACAAAAAAATGTACAGAGAATTCCAAAATACAGGTACAGAATAAATAAAATTATATTTTCCTCCTAAATACTATCTCCTATGAAATTCAACTTTCAGACCTGAGAGTCATAACAAACCAACACTTTGTTCCTACAGCAAGCTATGCACTGTTTTGAGTATATAGCTATGTAGTTATACTGCAGCATTGCTAGAAAGCCTCTCCCAGTGCACTCAGCACATAACAACGGATGGGGCTAAACGCCTTATTCTCACACCTGCAGGCTTTGATGCATATAG